GGATACAAAATTAGGTTGAAGGTAGGAGACGGACAGTGTGGTGGAGGGTTCCTTTTTGAACTGGAGGCCTGTGACCAGCGCTGGGCTGCTGCTTTTTGTCATTTTGTATAAATGATTTGGATGTGAATATAGGAGGTATGGTGAGTAATTTTATAGATGACACCAAATTTGGAGGTGTAGTGGACAACGAAGAAAGTTACCTCAGAGTACAAAGGGATCTTGATCAGATGGGCCAACGGGCTAAGGATTGGCAGGTGGAGTTAAATTTAGATAAATGTGAGGTGCTACATTTTGGAAAGGCAAATCAGGGCGGGACTTATACACTTAATGTTAAGGTCCTGGGGAGTATTGCCGAACAAAAAGATCTTGGAAGTGCAGGTTCACAGTTTTTTGAAAGTTGAGTTGCAGGTCAATAGGATAGTGAAGAAGGTGTTTGGTAAGCTTGCCTTTATTGGTCAGTGCATTGAGTATAGAGTTGGAAGGTCATGTTGCGGCTGTACAGGACATTGGTTAGGCCACTTTTGGAATACTGTGTTCAATTCTGGTCTCTCTGTTATAGGAAACAATGTGAAATTTAAAAGGGTTCGGAAGAGATTTACGAGGATGTTGCTGGGATTGGAGGGTTTGAACTACAGGGAGAGGCAAAATAGGCTGTGGGGCTGTTTTCCCTGACCGTCTGAGGCTGAGGGGTCACCTTATAGAGGTTTATAATATCATGAGGGGTATGGATAGGGTAAATAGCCAAGGTCTTTTCCCTGGGGTGGGGGAGTCCAAAAATAGAGGGCATGGGTTTAAGGTGAAAGATTTAAAAGGGACCCAAGGGGCAACTTTTTCACGCAGAGGGTGGTATGTGTATGGAATGAGCTGCCAGAGGAAGTTTTGGAGGCTGGTAAAATTACAACATTTAAACATTTAAAAGGCATCTGGATGGGTATACGAATAGGAAGGGTTTAGGAGCAAATGCTGGCAAATGGGACTAAATTAATTTAGGATATCTGGTCAGCATGGATGAGTTGGACCAAGGAGCCTGTTTCCATGCTGTATATCTCTATGACTCTATGTGAGCAGTGTTCAAGCTAATCCATCATAATCCACTGATGTCATTCCGATTTATTGAAAACAATCGTTGACTTACTATGTTCATTGTCAAACTTAGTATATCCATTTTTACTACCAGTGACTGTTTTAAATAATTACCCACTCATTCACTCTCTTTCATCCCCAGTGAGACAAACAGTCATCCAGTTTTATTTTAAGTTATACCTTTGCACACACAACAAACAGTGGATATGCTTCCATTGGGTATGCTTTTGTTAATATCCTCAAGAATAAGTAATAAACCTCATCTGATAAAAGCTTCAAATAAGAAAAGATACTGCGGATGCTGGAGATCTGACATAAAAACAGACAATGCTGGAAAAACTCAGCAGATCTGGCAGCATCTGTGAGGAGAGAAACAGTTAATCTTTCAGGTTCAAAGCTACAGCTTCACAAATAACTTAAAATATTGTTCCTTTTCCTACGAATTGCGACTGTGGGAGCTTATTTACAGTAATCTTTACATTTTTGAAAACTGAAACGGACTTTTTATTGTTGGTTCCTTTCCAAACTGGTCAGTTCCCATTTCCACTAAAATTTTCAAGCAGTTTAATTTCAACCAGGTTGTTCTTCTTTTTATTCTACAAAAGAGGAGCCAGAAGTTTTGGATTTTTGATATGCCTCTATTCTTTTTTTTAAAGCAGAAGTAATTGCATGACAGCATTGAGTTTAAACCGTTTCCCCGTCCATATCGAAACGAACTAAACTTTAAGGGTTGTATTAGACTAAGCATAGTATGCCACACCCACATATAATCATTCTTCAAATTGGTATGCACTAGGTTAAAGGAACGGTCAATAAGTCAAAATTAGATTTTAAACAAGTCTTCTTTTTTGGAAGAATAATACATACTCAAAAACATTCCAGTTTCTCAAACGCATCTGTCAAATGTATAAAAGCATGAGGAAAATAAATTCTGAAAGATCATTAAGTAAGATCTATTGGCATCAATCATAGGAGTATTTGCATTTTAGAATGCAACCAGCTAAATGTTTTTAATTGTAGAAAATCCCAATCAAAATGACCAAGAGTAAAATGAACAACGATTGATGAATTAAGAAGTATATGAAACAAATTTGTTTATTTTCTTCAAGACAAAATCTGTCAGAGAATTACATTGTGCCAGCAGCAACTTGCATTCATATGGTGCCTTTAAATAGATAGAATAGTTACAAAGTACTTCACAAAAGCATAATCAAGTAAAATATTGAAATTACATTTGACTTTTCAAGTATAAAATATTGGCATAAATCTACACATGTACTATCAAAACAAGTATCGAGTCCACAACATTTGAAATAATGATGATGAACAGGAACAGTTTAAACATAATATCTTAATGATTGTAGTAATCCAAAGAGTATTTGAGTTTGAGTAGTAATTATTGAATAATCTAATAAATCCAATAATTTCTTAGTTTGCAACAGGAAAAACAATGATGAGATAAAAAGAAAAGAAATGCATCCTAAATCACAATTTACACCCACAGGCATAAATGGTATTGATGTACATATCTGAACTTGTATAATTGCTTGTTAAACCTGTCAAACCAGTTATGGAGCATCAAAATACGAAGCTTTCATAGCACTAACCTCCTCACTGAAAATAGACAGCTCTTAGTACTGCTTATTGATCCTGATCATACTACTCACCACTGTTTTGTTAGATCGTCTAAGTTCAACAATGAATTAAGCCATAGATTTAAATCAATAACAATGGCTCTTTGATGATCCTTGTCCAACATTTTAAGGTAGGCCTTTCAACTGGTGAAGTTCAAATAAAAACAGCCCTCACTACATTTCTCTATATGCTATTTTTACAATGGTACTAATCGACCAAATTTAAAAACCTCATTAAAATGGAAGTTGGGTGAAGCATATTAAGCATTCAGATGTAACAGTTCAGAAAGTACCCATTGATTTATTTGTATTCCGGTTTACATAAAGAATTATGTCCTGTTGTAAATGCTCCGTGATGCCCCAGATTTGATTCTCCTTCATGGTGACATCAATTATTAATCTGTAGTAAAAATGTGTGCACTTATTGCAAATGTTTTCACAATTGAAAGGTCATTTGATCCAAAAATCCATCAATTCTGTCTTTTCTGCTTTCAGACAGTTGAGTACTGGGAAGGTTGCAAAGGCCAAAGCATTCTGCAGAGCCCAACTATACAGTTAAATAGGATAGTAGCGAGGGACCAGAAATACATGGAAGTCTGGGAGGGAATTTATGGGAGTTGCTTTTTAGAGTTAAGTATGTCCAGGACAGAGCTTTTGGAGCAACTGGAAAAAGGATTTGGGAGCACTTTGCAAACAGGGAAGAGAGAGACTTGAAGTTGGGAGACCGACAAGTTGGCAAGGTGCAGATAATGATCAACAGAATGTAATTCCTGAGAACAGAGATTAACCCCTTAGAAACAGGTTGTGAAACCTCTGACAGTAATGTTTTTAACACACAGGAACCTAGAATGTGACCCTGAGGAGCAAAGTGGAAAAAGAGAGAGAAACCTCTTGAGACCAGAGATCACCTGGAGCAAAGTTTGTCACTGCTAGGAGCAGAGAGTGACCCCTGGGAACACGGTGTAACCCCTGTCAAATACAGCTTGTGACTCTCAGGAACTGAGTGCACTCCCTGGGAACAGAAGTGTAGCTATCAAGGGCAAGAAGTTACTGAAAAAAGGATATGGTTATAGGGCAAGTGGGGGAGTTGCAAAGTAACATGTAACATCAAGAACAGAAAACAGGATACTGGAGGGGTGGTGGAGTGGGGGTAGCTTTGAGATTATATACCGAAGAAAGACTGAAAAGTTATAAAGGTAAAGCAACCCCAAAATATATTGGAAACCGAAATGCAGCCATATTACTTAAGCTTTTGTAAGGGACCACTTGGTTATTGTGAGGTGAAGATGATGAGAGATATTGGAAAATAGGAAGAATTAGATTCTGGGTAAGATACTGCAATTTGTTTTTGAGTGCTTAATTCTAGTGTTTATTATTTGATAGATTTTTAAAAAAAATTTTTAAAGGGTGGGTCAGCTTCTCAAAGGAATTCAAAAAATGCCTATGTTTCATTTTGTCATGAGCATCACAGGCAAAGTCAGCCTTTGTCGCTCATTCCCACTTTCAGGGTTTTTAAATGTGTTTTTATGAATGGAAGTCTTTTCAGGTATAGTGAAATAATTGTTTATGATTGATTGATTGCATTTTCTCATTTACTACGTAACAATCAGGATACATTACGGATTAACTTTACCAGGGTAAAATAAGCAATACAAATTACAGTCATTGTCAGAAGGTAGGGTGAAAGGGCGGAGAAGTGAAATCTCTGCATGCTTACAACCCTCACATCTTTATGCCGGAAGACATAAATTATGTTCCCGTGACTTTGTATGGCTGACAGTAAATACTGTCTGTGCAATAGCTCTTGTGTCCTTGTAAATGACTTCCTCAACTGTGCACTCACTTTCACGATTACCCAAAAAAACGCAACGGCTATTTTTTTCATCAAAAGGAACAAGTGGTAATTTCCACCTTAGGGTCAACTTGGCTAGTTTACACAATTTGTTGGTGTACTAGGGAGGAGGTCTTTTTTTACTAAAGATATAACTGACATTTGTAATTAATATGGCAACCGTGTATTCTGTACTGACCTAGGTGTCCTGACTCAATTGTACAAAGCTTGGTTCCAAATTATATGTAATTAAGCCATGTTAAAGTTAGTATTCTACACATCCACAATCTTTTCAGTAAAAATTTTAAACATTCTTCAAAGATTCCTAGGCAGTAGCTCCATAAATCAAATAAAAGCAAAATATTGCAGGTGCTGAAGATTTAAAGTAAAAGTAGAAAGTGCTGGAGAAGTTCAGCAAGTTTGGCAGTAACTGTGGAGAGAGAAAAATAGAGTTAACGCTTCAAGTCCAACATGACTGTGAAAGTTTGGGAAAGTGTTTTTAGATTTGAAACGTTAACTCTGTTTCTCTCTCCACAGATGCTGCCAGACCTGCTGAGTTTCTCTGGCATTCTCTGTGTTTATTAATGCAATAATTCATGTTTTGTTTACTTCTTTAAATAGCAGGTAACTGTCCACCGAAGTCTCTGTTCTAAAATCAGCTTTCATTAGTAATATCAAAGATTGTATTGCTGTTGCTCTGATTTTACAACGTGCATATACTTACAGAAGACCTCAAAGTGCCATTTTTAAGTCCTTTTCGTTGAGGCTGATTCATTTCTAAAGGACTGCATCCACATTTCAATCGTTTTTCCTGCTTGACAGATCTCTTTTCACACATATCTCTGCAGTGTTTTATGATTAGGTAACTCATCTCACAGATGTTTAGCAGTATGCACAGAACCGAGGAGGCAACCATGCAGTAGAGGAAGATGGTCTTTTCTGTTGGCCGACTAACAAAACAATCCACCACATTAGGGCAAGGTTTGATCTCACACTTCAAAAGGTGAGGAATAATGAACCCATCGTACATCCATGCCAGCACAAACAGGAAACTGAACTCAACTCCTGTTTTGAACACTAGGCTAAAGAAATAGGTCCACCACAGACCTCCATCTATGTTCCCTTTGTCTTTGTACAGCTTTTTTTTGTACTTCTTCTCTCGGTGTTCCCTGTAACCTACATGCATGACAACCAGAAGAGAAGGGGTAGAAACCAAGATAAGTTGCAGTGCCCAAAGTCTTGAGTGCGACACTGGAAAGAAGTAGTCGAAACATACATTTTCACAACCAACTTGCCTTGAGTTGCAGGTAAACTCCTTCTGTTCATCATTCCAGACACGTTCTGCAGCCACCACATAGATAAGGACTCGGAATATGAACATAATACTCAACCAGATTCTCCCCACAACAGTGGAGTATTTATTCACTCCACTCAAAACATCACGGAGTAAACTCCAGCTCATGGCTCCTCAATAACTTGATGATGAATCTACAGAATAGAGAAAAGAAATTTGGAATTAATGCACTGGACGAGTTATAGTTATTTTAATCAATCTGATCAGACTTCTATGACACATCTCTGGGGCAGCTGGGCCTTGAACCTAGACCACCTGGCCCAGGGGTAGGGACTCTACCACTGCACCCCAAGAGATATCGCCACACTTTGCACTGTCATATTTTAATGGCAGCACTTATTTATGTAGAGCATCTAATGAAATAAATCTCCCCAAGAACCCACACAAAAGCGTTGTAATACTCACATAAAGGAGTAGTGGGGCAGTGGATCAAAGCATTGAGAACATAAGAGATAGGAGCAGGTGTAGGCCATTCAGCCCTTCAAGTCTGACCTACCATTCAATACAATCATGACCAAGACTCAACTCTCCTTTTACCAGCTCCTAATTGCCCACAACTCCCCCATATTTCAAAAATCTATCTACCTTCTTTTTAAATACTTTCAGTGATCCAATCTCTGGGGTAGAGAATTCCAGACGTTCTCCGTCTCCTGTGCAACATTCCCTCTAAGCTGCTTAGAGGCAGCCGCTCTGATGTTCTGCCCATAGCAATCAGCAGTGGCATGCTGATCCTAGCGTTGACATCCAGTTCCAGAAGCCATGCTTGGACCCCAGAGAACCCATGCAGCTGGTAAGGAAAATTAGAGGAAATGCCATCCCTGGGAGAAGAAATTCCTTTACATCTCAGTTTTAAAGAATTGTCCGTCTGTCTGCTAGGTTGAGATTCCCACACCAGCAGAAACATCTTCTCAACATCTACCCTCTCCTTCCCCCTCAGAGTCTTCTATCTTTCAATAAGGTTGCTGCCCTTATTCTTCTAAATGTTATTGAATAAAGACTTAATTTGTTTAGCTGTTCTTGATAAATCCACACCTTCATCACAGGAATTAACCTAGTGAAACTCTTTTGAACAGCTTCCAATGCCATTACAAAAAACTTTTGTATTAACCAGCACCTATGGGATGAGGAGGTGCTGGTTGTTCAAATATTCTGGTTGATCAAGAGGTTTACCTAACCAATGTAAAACCTCACACTAAGTAAAGAAATGTGATGCAGGGATATATACATCACTACCACACTTCACTTAAATAACAATGCAAATTTGCCCTTAATAAAACTTAATGGCAGAGTCTTCTCTCTCACACCCTTAACTAACTACTCAGACATCGTGGAGATCGACAGTAAACCTCTGGTATTTGAAGTATATAATTTTTGCCAGTTTATCAAGAAAGCTGGTTCATTTAAGGTGCTGGTTAAAACAAAGTTTGCTGTACATCCTTTCTTAAATACAGGACCCAAAATTCTACATCATATTCCAGATGCAGCCTTAACAACACTCTGTACAGTTCTAAAAGACTTCCCTGTTTTTAAACTCCTACCCCCTAGCAATAAAGATCAAAATTCCATTTACCTCCTTATTTACTTCCAGTGCCTGAATGTTACCTTTTGTGTTTCATACACATGAATACCCAAATCTCTATATGGTGCACTTTATTGGAGTCTCTCTCCATTTAGATAATAGTCTGCCTATTGATTCTTCTGACCAAATACATCACCTCATAGATTCGTATGTTAAACTCCATCTGCTGTGTTTTTGCCCACTCGCTTGACCAATCCATATCCCATTATTTGTCAAAAAGATGAGTTTTCAAGGTGAGTTTTAAAAGATGGTGAAGGGGTGAAAAGGTTTAAGAGGGGAATTTCGATTGAGATTTACATGTAATTGAACACAGAAGCAATCTTATCAGTTTTGCTTGCAACATTTCAAAGACTTAAAAGTTTCTAATTGCCTCAAAAGTCAACAGCAACAACTTATAGAGTCATAGAGGTTTACAGCATGAAAACAGGCCCTTCAGCCCAATTTGTCCACTCCACCCAGTTTGCACAATTAATCTACTCCCATTGCCTGCATTTGATCCATTTCCCTCCATTCCTATCCTATCCATGTACCTGTCCAACTGTTTCTTAAATTACAAAATTGTACTCACCTTCACCCTTATATTTATAAACATCTTAAATATAATAAAACATTCCAAGGAATTTCACTGAAGCATAATAAAACTAAATTTGAAACCGAGCCATACAAGGAGGTATTAGCACAGCTGACCAAAAGCTTAGATAGAGATGGATATTTTGGGTAGGTTTTAAATGAGGACGGAGAGGTAGTAAAGCAGAGAAGTGTAGAGAGGCAATTCCAAAGCTTGAGGCACAGGCAACTTAATGTAGTGGAGAAATTATAATCAAGAATACACAACAGGCCAAAATTAAAGGAGCACAGATATCTCAGTGGGTCATGGGCTTGGAGGAAATTACAGAAATAAGGAGGGTGAGGTCGTGGAGATATTTAAAAACCAAGGATGTGAAATTTTAATGAAAATACTTGCTTGCCTTGGCCAATATAGGTCAGCAAACACAGGAATAAGACTGGAATGGGACTTGGTGGAACATAAGATACAGGCAACCGAGTTTGGAATGGTCTAAAGTTAGTGGGTAGATTGCGAAAGACCAGCTCACAGGTTAGGCTGCAGTGGAATGGTCAAGTTGAGAAGTGATTGTGGTTCGAATAAGGAATTCAACAGCGGACTAACTTAGACAAGGGTGAAGAGTCATAGAGTCATGCAGCATGGAAACAGACCCTTTGGTCCAACCAGTCCATGCCAACCACAATTTCCAAACTAAACTAGTCCCATCTGCCTGCGCTTGGCCCATATACCTTCAAACATTTCTTAGTCATGTACTTACCTAAATGTCTCTTAAACATTGTAACTGTACCCGCGTCCACCACTTCCTCTGGAACTTCATTCCACACACGAACCACTCTGTATAAAAAAATTGCCCTTCATCTTTAAATCTTTCTCCTGTCACCTTAAAAAACATGCCCCCTAGTTTTGAAATCCCCCACCCTACGGAAAAGACAACTGCCATTCACCTTATCTATACCCATTATTATTTTATAAATCTCTATAAGGTCACCCCTCAACCTCCTGTGTTCCAGCGGAAAAAGTCCCAGCCTATCCAGCCTCTCCTTATAAGTCAAACCTTCCATTCCCAGACACATCCAGGAAATCTGTTTTGACCCCTTAAACCATTAATTCCTTCATGGTTTACCTAAGGACTATTTGTGCAAATTGTGAGGGCTGTTCCCATGGTTTTCCATGGTAAGTTATGAGGGTTTTCCAATCTGCAATTCTGGTGGGCAAGGTTCAGTGCTAGCAGTTGAAATTCAAAAACATTCAAAAACATCTGCCCTGGTTCCAACCATTTTGAGTACTATCTCAGTCCTTTGTCTGTCCACCTTAATTTGAGTGCCTTTTCCTTTCGAGCTCAGTATAGAATATCAAAGTTGTGATATGATGGTGACATATAAAATCATAGCAAGACCACAGTTGGAGTATCGATTACAGTTTTGGTCTACACGTTACAGGAAGAAGGTGAAGGCAATGGAGAGAGAGTATAGCACAGACTTTCTCCAATCAGGAAGGCCCTCCTCAGAGAGCTGCTGGCCAATCAGACACCGACAGGTCTCCAAATCAGAAGCAGCGGCTACAGCCAGTACTGTACTGCTCCTTCACCCGAGATCGTCACTGCATCCCTAGAGAGAGAAAAGAGTGTGTGGGATGCGCTGGAAGGAAAGGAGGTACCAGCTAAAGGGGTGGGAAGGCTGTGGCCAAACAACTGGGGGCTGAGGGGAACCCACCTTAGAGAGCCCAGGAGCCTGATAAGAAGGGACAGCTGTAACCTCTCTCCCCACCACAGCCTGTCTCCATCCCCCACTGCTTGCTACAGTGTTCCAGTGAAGCCCAATGCAAGCTGGAGGAACAACACCTCATTTTCCGCTTGGGGACCCTACAGCCCTCCGGACTCAATACTGAGTTCAATAATTTTAGGGCCTAAACTCTCCCATGTCCCAGCCACCCACCCCACACACCAGGTCTTGTTACCACATAGCCTGCCACTACACACCCCCTGTCGTTAGTCACTGACAGTCCCCATTAACAACTATTCATCCTCCCAGCCTGATCATTAGCAACTCTTTTGTCTGTCCAATTGTCTTTCTCTATCTTTGGGGTCTATCCTATCGTTTACTCCCTATCCCACCCACCTCCCTATTTTCTGCATATAAACTGACGGTTTCCCAGCCACCATCAGTTCTGAGGAAGGGTCACCGGACCTGAAACGTTAACTCTGTTTTCTCCTCCACAGATGCTGCCAGACCTGCTGAGCTTTTCCAGGAACTTTGTTTTTGTTGTTGTTGTCTACAATAATAATGTTTGGATCATATGGAAAGAAACAAGTCATTTACCATGTACGTTTCTACAGGAATTATTATTCACTGTACCTCATATAATGAGACAAATCATATTGTACAATTTCTGATCTGACAAGATGTATTTATAAACTGAACAAATTAGTTGTTACGAAAACTGAGAAGCACCCAGCTGTCAGCATTTTAGGTTGCCAAGTGCTGGTGCTAGTTCGGGACTCAAACTACAATTAATGTGACCCCCGAATCATTTGCTAACAACATCATTACACTAAAAGAAAGTTAAAGAAAATAATCCTTTGCAGGGTAAAATGGAGGTACAGACTTGGTGGGCTGAAGGGCCTCTTCTGTACTGTATGATTCTATGAATGATTTGACATATTTTGACCTAATTAAAAGGAGTTAGTACAATTCAACTGTTCACTTACCAGTTGATGCAAAAGAATATCATCTATTATATGACGACTAAAGTGCTTCCAGAACCAATATGGTTTCCTGAATAATTCCCAGATTATTTTGAAGGCAAAAGGTCCCTGCTACACCTAGACTTCCAGAAATTTCCTGGTGTAGTTTATTTGGGGCACACAGAGAAAGCAACTGCAACATACTTGACAGTTGCAGATACTTTGTCCATTTTGAGCCTTCAGTAACTCGAACCCTCTCGACACATCTTGCATTTTATGCTGCACTA